TACGACGCCAGAGTTAAAGAACGGAGTACATTTAAATTTTTTTGGTGTGCTATATTTTCTCCTCATTGATCAATTCTATATTCATACACTTATGAATTCAAAATCAGATTTGCCTTTTCCATGAATTACACTCTGAAATGATACTTGTGGTCGGGCTCCATGGCTCAGTCTATAATCCCAGTACTTTGGGAAGGCGAGGAATCCTGGTGAGACCCCGCTTTTATAAAAAATAAAAAAATAGCTGGGCATGGTAACATGAACCTATAGCTCTAGCTGCTTGGAAAGCTGAGGTGGAAGGATCACTGGAGCCCAGAAGTTCGATGCTGGGGTGGCTCAGAGCACACACACACACACACACACACACACACACACACACACACACACAAAGTACATCCATATCTATATACGCACACACACATGTGCATTAAAAAACGACTCCAAGGATACCAATCAACACGTTAGCAGTGGTTATTTCTGGATGATGGGATTATGTCTGATTTTTTCTTTTTTCTAAAATCTACTGCCATGAATATGTATTATTTTTGTAAATGGAAAAACAATTAAGAGAAAATAATCCCTACAGAGCCCAACCTCCTTTGATTAAGAGAGCACATTTCTGCAGAGTGGTATTGAGGGAGAAAATGAGAGAACTGTGCTTCCTTAAACTAAAATTCCTTAAACTAAAATTGATAAAACAAAGAAGGCGGACTTGGCCTCAGGCATTACCTCACCATCCCTGAGCAGGGGTGGGAAATGGAAGAAGAGGGACTGGCCCAGGGAAACCGTCTGGATCGGGTTGTCAAGGTTTTCGCTTTTGTAAAGCTTTACCTGGAGCAGAAACAAAGCAGGCATGCTTTAGAAATCAGAACACAGCACACACTTCACTTCAGGCATCCTTAGGACAGAGACTCTCGGGTGGGGAGGGAGGGGATGTCTTTGGAAACACAAATATTTGAGAAAGAAACCGCCTCCCAACAGGCTGCATACCACACATTCCGTAATCATCTGAGACGCCATCCAGTGAGGTGCAAGACATCCACAGAAATGCAAGACTTAAAGTAAATTCTGACTATGTTCTTGCTCAAGATAGTAATGACGGTTCATACCATGATAATATTAAACAGAATAGCTTCTAACATGTGTAGAACCTCTGTAACATGCCAGGCACACAACGGGTGCTTCATGTACATTATTGCTAACTCCAACTCAGCAACACATGGCCTTGTTATCTGCTTGGAGACCCAGAGAGCCTAAGTCACCCAAGAGCACAAAACTCATGGTGAAGCCTGTGTCACTGTCCACCTTGTACTGCCCCATCATATTATGCCAATCTTAACTCTCTAAGTATTTGTTAAACTCCAACTCATTCCATCTTGCGTGTGGTTCTCCAGGCTGCTTTGAAAAAGAGTTTAATGCTTTGTTTCTGGCCTTTATATCCGGGACCATTGCCTGTTCTCATCACATGCAATGGGACATAAGAGGAAGAAGGCGCAGTCCTGGCTGATGGCAAAGTCCATGAGGGAGCCATAGTGACCCTGACACAGGAGATACAGACCCCCTCCCTGGGGTCCACCCTGATACAATCTATATAACATACAACTCAAGGGGAGTTTTCCAAAAACAAAAATCACAGACCAAGACCACATGTGTGTTCTTTTGTCCTGTACAGTATTTTAAGTAAATCTGAATTCACTGACTACATTAAAATTCAGATGACTTCAAATAATTCTAATTTCTGGCTTCTCTGGCAAACCAGGAAGTGGTATCAACCCTGGACCAGCAACACACAGAAGGATCTGAGGCATGGCCACCCCTCTCCTCTTAGATGGGACAGGGAGTTCCCCAGCTTGCCCTACACCCTACCCAGCCCTTTGCACTCTGGCAAAACCTGCCGATCCCCACAGGCAAACAACCTTGCAGCCCTGGACAGAGGTGATTAAAGCACAAGCACATACTCTCCCCTAAGCCCAACACTTAATTGCATATAAATTACAAGTGACTCTTGACAACAATAGTCCCCCAGAGCAATTCATGAACGTCTCTGGAGGGATGGCAGGGCATTTTATAAACATTTCTTCATTAATCTTAACGTGGAGCTTTTGTTAGAGCTGGAAAAGATTATAAGCAGTCCCTGAGTCTAAGCAGAGGGGGAAATGAGGCACTGACTAAGGCAGCAAGGTAGCTACTGGTGACAAGAGGGCCTAGACTGCCTTTCTTTTAATCCACTGTGCATTACCCCCTCCCTGGACAGAATTTAAAAAGTTACGAGGCTCTCTGCCCTAAAACTGTCTTTTCATGTTAAACTTCAGATGCAGTGATCATCCATCAGGCATCTACTATAATCCTTTAGAAGATTAACTGCTGGCAAAACAGAATGCATTCTCTCCAACAACCAGCAGCACCCTCCCAAATGCAGGCTGCGGCCCAAGTGTCTCAGCTGCTGCCTCAGCCTCAACAGGTGGTCCCTCAGAGCATCTCCATGTGCTGTACACTGAAGCAAGGGCTACATGGACACAAACATCCTGCTCCTGCCTGTCTCAGAGCTCAACAGCACACGGTACTTGCATCTTAAAAGGCTGGCCTTACCCATAGTGTGGGAAGATACTCAGAGGAAGTGATCACATTTCCACTTAGATCAAATTGATTAATCTGCCGGAAAACTATGATGTTTACGTCATCGATGTCATTATTCCCAACCTAGAAAGAGAAGGCACACAAGTAATGAGAAAGCTGGAGGAGCAATTTCCAGGCTGCTTGGCAGCCTGAGAGCTACTTCATAGCAAACTTCACTTCATACAGTAAGGGAGCAAAGTCTGCCATGGAAGTAACCCAGGTCCAATGTCGCAAGCTGACAGAAGATGGGCTGTCACTGGCCCATGGACACACTCTGTCTGATGAGCACAGTGTTTTTCTTTTCTAAGCTTTAATTACTTGCCAGCATTTTTTTTTTTTTTTTTTTTGAGTTGGAGTCTCACTCCATC